ATGGATGGATGGATGGATTGTGATAAGAGATGTACGAGGCCCCAATAAAATGTTTTTTATTTTAAAAAGTAACCTATTTTGTTTGTGGTGGTTGTTGAGTAAACATGGCATACCATAAACCAGTTCAGCACTTTCTACGTCTATGATTCAGCAACTTTGATTACATTACTTGACTAACGCAACCATTCTTACCCACCTTTTCTGAGTTGTTCCTCCTTCCATTGACATCAGTTCCCTGCCCCCTAAAGTTCCCATCTAATCTGTTGAGTTTGGTAGCATACAGATAGCGTTTAAAAGAGCAAATTACCTTCATGTAATTGATTTATGGATTGTTGTAATATCTGTAAGAGCCCCCAATAAAATAATCAATGAAAAAAAAAGAGCAAAATACCTAAGGTATACATCCTTTACTGGTTAAAACTTAACTATTGTTTAGTTTTAAGAAAATTTCAAGGGTAATTTCTGGTTTAAGTTTGAAAGATTATCTCAAGGGAGTGATTTCAGGCGTTCATCAGCCTCCAAGGCTCTAGAAAATCTGAATTCCATAAGAATTTTAAATTCTATTTTGCATTTTCTTGCTTTTGTTCTGGATGGTTTTTTTTTTAACAATCCATACATCAATTGTATCAAGCACATTTGTACATATGTTGCCATCATTATTTTCTAGACATTTACTTTCTATTGAGCCCTTGGTGTCTCAGCTCCTCTTTTCCCTCTCCTCCCTGCCCCCTCTTCAGGATTCTTTTACAGAATCTTTGATCAAAACGTTGAATAATGGCAGCTGGGCGCCATCCATATTCTTGGGTCTCATGGTAACGGAAGCAGTTATTCAACGAGGCACTTTCACCGTGCATTCCATATCCTCCCTTTCCCTACTCTCCTTCTTCCATTGTGTCCCAGGCAAATAAAGACCAATGAGTGCGCCTTGTAGGGCCACTGGCACGCTTTTAAGAACCCAGGCAGTGTACGCCAAACTAGGACAGTGTTTCCCAAAGTGACTGACACCGATCCAGTGGAACTGCAAATCAGATACCTACATTTTATCTTGGATTATGGGCTATCGTAAAAAGTAGTTTTTAATTGCCAGGGGAGTGCTGAGTAATTATTTTTCTGAAAAGGCCAAATAAGTTTAGGGACCTTTGTGCCAGGAGAACAGAAGCACTAAACCACCTAATTTTTAGACAAATTAACTGGGATTTCTGATGAAACCACAACCCTAAACCAAGGAACCAAATCCCATGAAGTGGTTGGTTGTACAAAAGCAGCCTCGGCAACAAATCTTTGTTGTTTTTGTAAATATGTCGATCACGCAACTTATGCCTTTGCCAATTCAACTTTTTTTTTTCTTTTTTAAATATAAATCATGTTATTGGAGCTCTTACAGCTCGTATTTTTTTTTCTTTTTTAACATTTTATTAGGGGCTCATACAACTGTTATCCCAATCCATACACATATCAATTGTGTAAAGTGCATCTGTACATCGTTTCTCAAAACATTTTCTCTCCATTTAGCCAATTCAACTTTTAACAGGTTTGTAACTTATTGACAGCACTTTTTTTTTAACAGTACTTTCTTTTTTTTTTATCGTTTTATTAGGGGCTCATATGACTCATCACAATCCATCCATACATCAATTGTGTAAAGCACATTTGTACATTCATTGCCCTTATCATTCTTAAAACATTTCCTCTCCACTTAAGCCCCTGACATCAGCTCCTCATTTTTCCCCTCCCTCCCCATTCCCCCCTCCCTCATGAGCCCTTGATAATTTATAAATTATTATTTTGTCATATCTTGCCCTGTCCGACATCTCCCTTCACCCACTTTTCTGTTTGACAGTACTTTCAACAATTGGCTATGCAACCCTTGACTTGTATGAAATGGTCTCAAAAAATTCGTGGGAAAATGAAATTCAAATATAATGGAATTTTCCACAAACTTTGTGAAACTCCCTCATGGCTAATTTTTTAAAATCATTTTATAAGGGCTCATACAACTCTTATCACAATCCATACAGTCATCAAATGTGTAAAGCACCTTTGTACATTCATTGCCCTCATCATTCTCAAAACATTTGTTCTCCACTTAAGCCCCTGGCATCAGCTCCTCATTTTTCCCCTCCCTACCTGCTCCCCACTCCCTCATGAACCCTTGATAATTTATAAATTATTATTTTGTCATATCTTGCACTGTCTGACGTCTCCCTTCACCCACTTTTCTGTTGTCCATCCCCCAGGGAGGAGGTCACATGTAGATCCTTGTAATCGGTTCCCCCTTTCCTACCCATTCTCCCTCTACCCTACCAGTGTCACCACTCACACCACTGGTCCTGTAGGGATCATCTTCCCTGGATTCCCTGTGTTTCCAGTTCCTATCTGTACCAGTGCACATCCTCTGGTCTAGCCAGATTTGTAAGGTAGAATTGGGATCACGATAGTGGGTGGGTGGGGGAAGCATTTAGGAACCAGAGGAAAGTTGTATGTTTCCTCATGGCTAGTTTTTAATGGTACATTTACTCCCTGTATCTCACAGGTTGAGGTAATAACTGTTTAAAAAGAGGAGCTCAGAGAGAAATGGAATAGCAACAGGCAGAACTGTGACCGATAACAGTTTTTCAATTTTTATTTTTTATATGATAGTTTTTTATCTTTGTCATCATCATTTAATTTCCCCCTTCCTTACTGACTAGCCTCCCTCCTTCTTTGCTCTACTCTCACAGAATTGCAGGAATCCACAAACCAAAAGCTGTTGCCCCTGAAGCTGGCTCTGGAGGTGGCAGCCTGGTTCATTTTGCTTATTTTCCTCTTGGAGATTCTTCTTATGTGGATGTCCAACTTCTTCCTCTTCTGGACGAATGCCTGGAGTGTCTTTGACTTTGTTGTCACCATGTTGGTAAGAGTAGATAGGTCGATGGCAGCTATTAGATGGCTGCAGAATGTGTCCAAGTGAGCCAAAATGATAAGGAAAACTAAGATGACTAGAGTTCAGAGAGAAAAATTAAATTTAGCTGATTTTCTTCTTTTGCTTTTCCCCCTTAAAAATGTAAAGCAATCATTGTATGAATTAGTTGTATTAGGGGTAAGGCAGAGTCTAACCATAATATCAACCCTAAACATTACCAGCTGTCAGCTACTAAATGCTTATTAAATACCAGCCACAGCTCTATTTTATGTGTTAACTCATTTGAGTTCCGTAACAAGTCTATGAGCTAGAACTTTTATAATCCCCCTTTCACATCCTAATTAGTTGAGTTGCAGAATTGAAATAATTTAGTACAGAAAGGCTGAATAACAAGCAATCCCTAGGAAGATGCTATTCAAAGAATAACGCCTAAGGAACTATGAAAAGAGTGAGAAGGGGCATCCGTGCCTGTGTGCTCTGGGGTATAATATGTGTGTTTTTCGCAGTCCCTGTTTCCTGAGGTTGTGGTGCTGGTGGGTGTCAATGGCCAGTCAGTGTGGCTCCAGTTGCTGAGAATCTGCCGGGTGCTGAGGTCTCTCAAACTCTTTGCAAGGTTCCGTCAAATTCGAGTCATTATTTTGGCCCTAGTCAGGGCCCTCAAGGTGATTTGACTGTTTCAGCTAAGCCTGGGGGGGAAAGTGGATAAACACAGGAGTTTTAAATTGAACCAGACATCTGGGTGGGTCACAGAAGGTGCTGAAAAACTCAGGGAACCATTTGCGCTTGAGAAGGGGCAAGGGAAAAAGCTGCAGTCAGGTGGAGAGGACTAGGTTCAAGATTGAAAATGCAGGTTTGGTTTGGGGGTTACATGAGTGGGCGTGGCTGGCTGGATCTCAGCCTCGTCTGGCCCAGCTCTGACTGCAGATCGTGCCTTCTAGATCATGACTCCACTCTTTATGCTGCTGCTCATGTTCTTCTACATCTTTGGTGTGACTGGAATCTACTTCTTTGAAAGTTACACCCGCTCAAATCGCCAGGACCTGATGTTCCACATGTACTTCTTGTAGGCAAGGCTGGGTGAATCCTGGGTGTGGGGAGAGAATTTGGGAAAGGGAAGGGGAAGGTGATCCAAAATGTAATTAATAAAAAAGTATAGTCTAATAGAAGAGAATAGAATTGAATACTATAAGGAGGGGAAAGAGCAAAGTGGGGTTACTATCTGAATTCTAATGTGAGGCAAGTAATTCCATGTTTATTCTAGGTTTTGTAAATTCAAACACATCCTTTTCAATCAGACTTCAATAGCGGTATATCCTGATGGTTAAGCCTTGGTTTCTAGGTCTCAGTTAGCTCATTTGAAAAAATGAGAATAATAGTACTACCTCAAAGAAGTGTAGGGATTAAATGAGGTATGCATTTTTGCATTTAGCACTTGACACTTGTAAGTGATCAGTAAATATCACTTCTACTCTTAAGCATGGTCACTGATTTTGTTTGCCCCAATCATGATGGACTCCCTAGGTGTGGGGACTATACGTGCACTTACCTCTACTCATTCAAAAGTCACATCTGGATAATGTCACAGAGAAAGCACTGATTGGTTACAGAAAGGCAATTTGAATTTGGAGGAAATTATCTGCCGTGGGTAAGGTTGTTGGTTCGAGTCCACCAGCCACTCTGCAGAAGAAAAGGCTTCATATGTTGCTCCTATAATGATTACAGCCTAGGAAACTCAATGGTACTGTTCTGTGTCTTAGTGGGTTACACATTGGACCCCAAGATCATCAGTCAGAACCCACTACCCATAGAGGAGAGATGAGGCTTTCTACTCCGATAGATATTTAGCCATATAAACTCACAGGGAGATTCTACCTTCCCCTATTGGGTTACTATGAGTCTAGATAGGCTAAAGGGCAATAAGTTTGAATTTTTGAGTTGATAAATCAGAATCGACTGTACGTAACAGCACCAATGGTAATTTTATTTGTAAATTTGAATCTAATATTTTCCAACACCTCTCACATCTTTCTTAGACTCCAGCAGATCATTTTTTGGAAGTACTGAGTGATGGAAGTCTTTGGATCCATTCATCTCAGGCACTGATGTGTTTTTTTTAAAGTCATTTTATTGGGGGCTCATACAACTCATCACAATCCATACATGCATCAATTGGATAAAGCACATTTGTACATTTGTTGCCCTCATTATTATTTTTTTAATTATTTTATTGAGGGCGCATACAATTCTTATCACAGTCCATACATACATCCATTGAGTCAAGCACATACAAGCACCTGTTGCCCTCATCAATCTAAACACATTTGCCCTCTACTTTAGCCCTCAATATCATTTGCTCATTTTTCCCCCTCCCTCCCCTCTCTCCCCTTCCCTAGCACTGATGTTTTTAATACATTGTACATGGGGGACTAAGAAGGAAAGCAGGACTATTTAGAGTCCTTCCTGAGGCCTTCTGTGATATATCTTGACAGTGATTTGGGATCACATATGTTTATGTAACAGTCATCCTTTTACCCATTTATCAGTTTATATGAAGAGGGTAAACGAGGATGGTGCTTGTGAAGTTTGCGAGTGACCTGTTAGGTGATGTCCATAGAGCAGTGTGGAAGAAAAATTATTCTACTTACTGATTTTTTAAAAGTGTCAGAATAGTGAGAAGGATTCCTTATAAAATATCCTCAAACCAAAGAATGATAGCTGAAATTTTGAGTATGGTAGAAAAGAAGCCAAAAGTTTTAGAGTAAATTACAGAGAAATGTTCTTATGATGCTTTATGTTTTAGAATGACAGCTATACTAAGAGGCTTATATCTCTGTTTCTCTACGTAAATACACACCCATCAATCTCTCCAGGGATGTTCCAAATTCCCTGGTGACAGTGTTCATTCTTTTCACCTTGGATCACTGGTATGCACTGCTTCAAGATGTCTGGAAGGTACCTGAAGTCAGCCGTACCTTCAGCAGCATCTATGTCGTCCTTTGGTTGTTGCTTGGCTCCATTCTCTTTCGAAATATCATAGTGGCCTTGATGGGTAAGTATGCAGGAAGTGAAACTGGAAGGGAGGCATCACTGGAAAGAAATTGCTAGGAAAGCTGGGGTTGGTGGATATTGGTAGAACTTGGGGTCACAGGAAGGCTTGGGGCCTGATGGATGTTTCACTCGGTTTCTAAGTCTTTTCCCCCCTATCTAGTCACTACCATCTCTTAACCCTTAATGGCCCTCTGGGGCAGTTACTAACTTCCAGAGTATCAGGACTGAGCTGAATGAAGAGATGACACATCTGGAGGTTCAGCACAAGGCTGACATATTCAAGCGGCAGATTATCCAGAGGTCTGCTTCCCCATTTTCAAGCCTTACTTCTGTTCTCCGGGGTTTCTGAACCCCATTCCCTATTTCTGCTCCTCGGCCTTGACCCTACTTTCCCCCCTGTAACAGAAGATTTGCCTCAGGGTTAGGAATTCCCTAAATGTAGAACAAGCCTGACTTTTTAATCCATAGTTGGGGCCCATCCATTTATTTTCACCCCTTTACTACAAATCTTTTCCCTCACTCAGTGTTGTCATTTGAATTCTTTCCTTCCCCCTCCCCGCCTTTTCCTTCCTAAATCCCTGTTAAAGTGATACTATATCACTCTCTTCATTTTTTGTGTTTTGTTTTGCAGGAGACAATACCAGTCCCGAGAGGCATTAAGGTCGAGCCAAAGCAAAAATGATACCAGGTTAGGGATATATCGATAATTGCGATGGAAATGCAAAACCAAAGATAAAGATTGAGTTTGAGAGAGAGTTCATTCATTTAGTAACTGTTTATTACAGTGGATTGAATGGTGCCTCCAAAAGATGTGGCCATATCATAACCCTCTAGAGTCTACAACCTGTAATATGACCTTATTTAGCAAAAAGGATTTTGCAGATCTTATTTAAGTTAAGGATCTCAAGAGCTCGTCCTGGTTCTCTGGGTAGACCCTAAACCCAACAGAAAGTACCCTTCTAAGATACAGAGTAGGAGAAGACACAGAGAGAGGATAAGGCAATGTGCAAAGGGAGGAAGAGATTCGTGTAATGGAACCACAAAAACCAACCAGACTCACTGCCATTGAGTCAGGCTGACTCATGGTACCTCCCAGTGACTATTTATGGGAGTAAAAAGCCCAGTCTTCCTCCCAAGGAGCTGCTGCTGCGGGTGGTTTCAAACTACTGACTACGCAGATCAGCCCAACATGTAATCACTACACCACCAGGGTTCCAGGTAGCCATAGGTCAAGGAGATCCAAAAACTGCTATAGAGATACCAGAAGGCAGAGAGAGAAGTAACTGCCCCACTTAGGGCCTCCAGAGGGAGTGTAGCCCTGCCCACGCTGATTTTAGGCTCTAGAACCCAGAGTGTTAATTTCTGTAGTTTTAAAGACACCAAGTTTGTGTTCACTTGTTGTGGGAGCCCTAGGAAAAGAAGAACCTTCTATGAAACAGATAGTATTTTGAACCCCGAGTTGAATAGTAAATAAGCTAGCAGAAGCGTTAGATCTCTCCCTCTCGTGGGACAGATAGACCTTGGTCCTTGGCTCCGCACCAGAAAGAATTCACGCTGAAGCCTGGTTTGTGATCCAAGTGAGTTGTATGAAAGTTAAAAGCAGTTTCAGGGTTTACAGTGAATGGAACACAAGCCAGACAGAGCCTGCGGCACGGTAGGCGGGACATGGCACTGCCACGCTGTACCGTGTCTGTTGGAGCTGCTGGGAGAGCGCACCAGAGCAAAACCTCTGGCTTTTCAGGGGCCTCTTGGGAGCCGTGGTCCATGATACTGGTCGACCCCATTGGCTAAGTCAAATTCACCTGGCCTAGATGGGCCAATCCAGGTGTAACACCCACCTAGGTGTACCACGCCTTCTTGCCCGGGAGCTTGAACGTAACAGAAGGAGAATTGAGAAATTCATTTATCCCTTCAACAAATAATTATTGAATATTTATTAGGTACTTGGGATATAGCAAGTGAACAAAATAGACAATAACGCCTTCCTTCATGAAGCTTACATATTGGTAGGGAGTGGGGCGGAGAGAGAATGAACATACTGAATAAGTAAATATTTAATGTTAAGATATATTAGTAAATAGTATTAAAAGCTAACAGTAGAGCAGCGTGAGGAGGGTTGGTTGTGCAGGGCGAGGATTGAAGGTTAGTTTTGCAGATGAGGGGCTTACGATGGGAATATATATGAGAGTGTTTTAGGCAGTGGGAACAGCTAGTATAAAAGTCCTGAGGCAGAAACCTGAGTTGCTTGAGAAATAAAGAAGCCATCGTGAGGGGCAGAGGGTGAGCAATGGGAAAGTGATAGGCGATACCTGAGTCCCAATCCTTTGGGCCATGAGTGTCAGGGTGGGGACTTAGTTTTTCACTCTTTGTGATATGGTGAGCAGAGAAGTGATATAAATTCACTTACATTTAAGAAGAATTTAGGGGACAGGGGAAAGGAAGAGGTGGGGGGAAAGGAGGAGGGAGCCAACAAACTCAGGGACAAGGGAACAACAAGAGATCTAAAGTCGGTGACCAGAAAAGCATAGAAGGCCTGGTGGGTTCAATCAAGTGCAGTATAGCCAAGAGGAAGTACAGAGAGCCGAATGAAGGTCGAACATGGTAGTGGGACAGGAGGAAAGTAAAGGGAAACAGAAGAAAACTAGGAGGCAAAAGACACTTACAGAGGTCTAAACATAGGCATGTATATATGTAAATATATTCATATAGGAATATAGGTCTATGTACATATATTTATGAACATATATTTATGGGTTAAGTGTTAAGGTAGCAGGTGGACATTGGGCCTCTACTCAAGTCCTCCCCCAATGCAAGAACACTTTGTTCTAATAACCTTGCATTCTGTGATGATCACCTTTCTGACACTATCACTGAAGACAAAATGGGTACCTAAGCTAATGTGGTAAAGAAAGCTGATGGTGCCGCCTTCCCCTCCTCGGCTATTACAAGATAGTGTCTGGGGTCTTGAAGGCTTGAAGTTAAACAAACGGC